ATACTGACGCGGTTGAAGAGAGGATAGGTAGCTGGGGAGGATGGATTATAGAATGAAGCATGGCTGGAGACAAAAGAGGATATTATAGAGAAATTCCTATGGAGACATCTGGTGGAACAGGGAATTAGATAAAAAAGGAAAAATTATGGAAAATGCTAAAGAAAAGGCGAATTAGTGAATATAATTAGTGATATTAGTGACTAGAGGGTTGAGATAGGGATGCCCATTAAGCCATAACTTATCTGGAAGAAATAGCGGAAACGAATTCGTTGGCACATGCAGATGATCTGTGGCAACCGATGATCGATGGGGAGATAATTTGATGGGAAATATTAGAAGGTGAAAGTTAAAAATTATAAAATTCTGCAAAGACAGGAGACTGAAAAAGAAGAAATGGGAATGAGACAAGTAGATTATTGGGGTAGATAGTGAGAGAGGAGTTGAAACTAGAAAGATGAAGGAGGAAATGGAGAGAACACTTGAAGAGTTTTGGACGGAGGTTAAGTCTTGCATGGGGAAGTATCGATACCAAGAAAGACTTGGGGCGAAAATGACATACAGACTTATGGTATTCAAAAGGCTGTAGACCAGAAATGATATCCCTTTATATTATTTATTGGTCAAACAATGCCTTGATCATAACGGAAAAAGAATTAAGTGCTTCAAGAACAACCAAACATGTTTTGATTGGTTCTACAAATTTTTGGAAAGAAACAAAAATTTAATTGAACGAATATGTCAAAACATCAAGCGGTGTCCAGGTAGACTTATAGTACTTTGCAAAAGAGGTACAAAATATGTCAACAGGATCTTAGACTCAAGCAAATCTAGCACCACAATGATTGACACTTTTTCCACCATATATTGTATATGAAGCTCAGCATCTCTATCCCACATGGATCGAGAAACTATGATAGGGGATAATTTAGTCATAGAACTATATGAACAAAATGACATTATTATCCTTCTTCCATCCAACGCAACGCATTTGTTGCAACCGTTAGATATCTCATTTTTTATCTCATTCCCAAAGCTTCTAAAAATACTACTGAATAAACGCCAAAAAAACGATTCAATCCGGTTTTAGGAGTTGTGGGATAATTTCCTGCGGCCGTAATAGCGTTTTAAAGAAAAGTCTCAAATCTAGCCAAATACAGGCAGAGATTGATAGACATTGGACATCAACGTTTGCAAACCTTGCAGGCTAGACAAACTGTGAAAAAAACTAAGAATAAGAATAAACCGATGGTCATTTAATGATTTACCAAAGCATATCCAATCGAATAACTCCAATCCGGTTCCTACCTGAGAAAAACAGTTTTCTTTTATCTTATATTGTGTTCAAGAAACGAAAGATGGATGGGCTAATCCACCTAACTATCAAGGTGAAGAAATTTCTTTCTCAAAGGAAATCAAATATCTTGGAATAATCCTAGGCAAAACCCTGTCATGAAATGGACATTTGAGCGGAACTGGGGAGCAAGTTCATCACGACAGACTGGTCGGAAGAAGGGGTAGCATTCTACAGGGGAAACCTCGACACTTGCCAACAAAGGATACAAGAGATCAGGTTTGGAAGAACTTATCCAGGTAGTGCGGGAGGCAACACTGAAAAGGGAGTGTGTACGTAGGGGGGACAGAGTAGGGAGGAACGACTGGTATGGTGGCGAGTGCAAGAAGGCGAAGAGGGAGACGAGAAGGAGGTTGAGGCAGTGGAGACGGGGGAAGATAGGGGTTGATAGATATAAGGAGGCCAGCAGAGGATACAGAGAGCTATGCAGTAGAAAGAAAACAGAACTGAGGGAGAAGGAGGCGGCAGAGATTAGAAGAATAACAAGGGAAGGGGAGATCGGGAGGTATCTGAAAAAGAGAAAGAAGGGTAGGGAGAGGATAACCAGCGAAATACACATGACAGAATGGAAGAGTTACTTTATGGGATTATTCTGAGGGGTTGAAACGAGGCTAACGGGGTTGGGAGGATATGAGGGAGATGGGGGAGAGGAGATAGCAGAAGAGAAGATGGAAGCAGTGCTTAGGGGATTGAAGAAGGGAAAGGCGCCAGGGGAAGATGGGATCCAGAACGAGGTTGGAAGTATCAAGGGTGGTGAGAGTGAAGTTGTTAGAGGGGATGAATAGTGTATGAAGAGGGGGTGGGATTCCGGAGGGATAGAAAGTGGGGGTAATTTGCCCAGTATATAAAAAGGGTAATAAGGGAAGGGTAGAGAGCTACAGGGGAATTAACCTACTAGACTCGGCATACAAGGTATACACGAAGATACTGCTGGGAAGACTGGAGGAGGAAATGCAGTTGGGGGAAATTTTGCCGGATGGGCAGGCAGATTTTTGGAAGGGAAGGGGAGCAATCGACAACGTGTATGTACGTGTTGAAGCATCTGGCAGATAGAGAGCTGGATAAGAAGGGAGGGAAATTGTACGCCCTGTTTATAGATTTGAAGACGGCTTTTGCTAAGGTGGATAGGGGAAAGTTGTGGGAGGAGGGGGATCACGGAACACTTAATTGCGAGAGTGAAAGAAATATACATGGAGACTATGGCTAGGATAAAAGTGGGAGATAAGCTGAGCGACGTGTTCTGGACGACGAAGGGACTGAGGCAGGGATGTCCGCTGAGTCCAAGTCTGTTTGCGCTGCATACGGCAGACCTGGAGGATTGATTGGGGAAGACATCGTGGTCATAGCGAGAGAAGCGGCGGAGATGAAGGATATAATAAAGGGTGGGAGAAAAAGAACAGAAAACTGGAGATGGGAGGGAAAAGAGATCGAGGAGGTTACTTGGGGTATGTGTTTAGGGAGGACAACAGGGAGGGGTCGCACGTGATAGCTATGGCAAAAAAGGCGAATAAGATGATGGGACAAGTATAGGGTTGGGGGAAGAGAGTCTTTGGAAGGAATTGTGGCAGCGAGGAAGATTATGTTTGAAGGTCCGGTTAGCAGTGTGATGATGTATGGGGCAGAGGTATGAGGATGGAGAGAGCAGGCAATGCTGGAGGATGTGCAAGCTAGATATTGGAGATTGTGTTTGGGGTGGCGAGAGAAACACCGGGGTATATAGTGAGGGAAGAGGTAAAGGTGGATAAGGTCAGAGTGGAGGGGGGCAGGAGGGCAGTGAAATATGAAGAAAGAATAGAAGGGAGGCCCAACTGCGGGATCTTGGGGGAGACAACTATTATAGACGAACGGACTACTCGGTAACTAAGATAAGTAGGAGACAAAGTGTAGGTAGGGAGATGTGGAGGGAGTTGAGAGATAGGGACCGAGATGTGCAGAGACAGGAAAGAAGGACACAAATAAAAGAGGGAAGGTGTAACGAAAGGTACAGGGCATAATTACGGAGGGGCTGCCTAGATACTTGTTCTGCCGTCCTTACTGAAATCATCCTAAGTGACAAAATGTTGAAACTGAGATAATTCAATTTAAAGGGAAAATTAATCGCTGTCCATATCTTTCAACATTTATTTTTCAATCTTTGCATGCCATCTCAAAGCGTATGGATATTTTCATTATTTACGATTAAAAAAGTGTAAGTTTAGTTATACCTGAATTATGTAGAAAAATGTACAGATAAGATGTTATGTCTTAGTAAAATTACACTTAAAATATAGAAAACTGTAAAAAAAAAGGAATGCTACTAAATAATATATGATTTATCAAGTTTATTGACAAACATAGATGAAAATTTCTGTGATAGGAGTGGTAAAACAATTGTATCCTATCAATTCATCCTATCTACAACAAAAATGTGAGATAGGACAATTTAACATAGCACGTGGTAACATAGGACATTTTAACGTAGCAAAGCCCTCATATTGAATACTCATGTACATAGCCAACTTTACCAACTTTAAAAGCAGCTAGGACGTTCTTACTTAGCCAAATAGGTAGAAATAACACCCATATTCAAGAATTTGCATTTAGGTTGAAAATTAGGAAAAATGTAGATACGACGATTTAAGTAAGGACGGCTATTGGAAGAAGATGAGGAAGGGAAGAAGTTGGCGGCTAGGTTCCATTGTGGAAACGAGGAGAGAGCTAACAGATACTGGATGGCCGATGAGGAGAGGTGGCGTAAGCTATGCAGGGAGGAATGGGAAACATTGGAACATATGTTGAATGGGTGCAGTGAGTTGAGGGAGGAGGAGTTGGACCGGGGACAGATCTTAGGAGAGGGGAAACGATGGATGAGGGGATGATTGGGCCGAGGAGCCGAGGGTGTGGAAATGGAGGAAGAGAAATGGATGTTGATTGTGTTTTCCTTCCAGAGACTTTCATCTTCCAAAGATTCAATATTGAGTTTATACATGTTTATTCTCATTTTGCAAAGCACCAGTTTGTTGATCACTGCCTATGTTAGCTGCATTAAGTGTTCCTACATCGATTATCATCTGTAGTGTGATCGTTTTATTAATCATGATATAATCTATCATAAATTCTCACTTCTTTTTATTGCATCACCTAAATTTATACTCCATCACGTGTTCAAAAAGGTACTATTAATTTTTTGGATTCTATCTTCTAACGATTCATTCTCAATTCTGGCGTTCAGGCACAGAATAACCAGAAAGGATACTGACCTCGATTTTGAGTTTGACACCCTCGATCTAGATCTAGGTATTGAAGATCCTGGTGTTTCCAAAGAACATTTCATTGCTCTTGATTTGTCTAAAGGATTTTAACTTTAAAGTTAATTTTTTTTAATCGCAATTCTGTCGCTTAAATTCCTTTTTCTCATTTGATCTTAGATTTTCCTAGTAAACTTGTCATTCAGTATTAGAAGAAAAATGTATCATGAATCAATAAACTTTAATGATGTCATCATATCACATTAGTGACGTCATCATTAGCAACGAATTATTTATTTTATCACCTGGATGCATAAATTATGAAATAATTATTATTATCGTAATTTAAATAGAGTATTTTAAAAATTTGATTGATAAAAGTGAAAGGATCCGAGAATATAACTCGATCTCAATATACTCAATTCCAATTTGAATCCAACCTACATACTTTATACACTCAAACAACCTACAAAGATTTTTTTTAATCTTAAAAACGCACGTGTAATCGATTGCGTAAATATGAGTCACTCGGGGCGGGTTGGTTGGTTTTAGAAAGAAAATTAGGACAAATCCGGTTCGATTCTAAATCGATTTAATAACATTTTCGATTATTTTTTAAACCAACCCCGACTAAAATCAACTTTCTCAAATCAAACTTATTTTATCCCATAAATTATTAAATCTTATTACTATTAATTTTTAGATATAACAAGTATGAGTGAAACGAAAATATCTTTTACCTTGAGTATGTGCTCAAAAAGTGGTAGAGGCACGAAACGGACAAGTAAAAAAAAGAAAAAGTTACTCTTAAAAACCGCGTGTAACTAAAATAAGAGCACTTGGGTTGGGTTTCGGTCAGTTCCATCCAACATTTCGGACGGTGAACGTCTCAAAAGGGATGATTCATTTCAAAAAATGATTTTCCTTTTCGTTTTAAACTTAATTTTGGCGGCGTTAATTTCCGGTTCGCCCGACAATCAAAAATGTTTAAAAACCGTTTCAAACACAAAACTTTTGTGCTTTTATAGTGAAATAACGACTTTAAAGGGGTGCAAGTGTACGCACGTGATCGTTCCATCGACTCTCCAATCCAAAATCATCAACAAATTAAAAGAATCAAACCATGAAGTTAAAATTTTCGTCACAATCACCGAACTAAATCAAGTAAATACATTCATTTAAATTTAACAAGAATTATTTTGGTGTTTTTTAGCCGACGATTTCTTTGATTAAATCGTCAAACCCACACGGGTTAAATTTAAATTTAAACTCATTCGAGAAAATAACCTCCCCTAACGACATTTTAGACGTGATTACAACGCTTCGAGCCAAACTTAACGAAAAATTAGAAATAATCGTGACTGTGCCGTCGAAAATCGACGTTTTAGCGAGATTTTACGACTTTAAGCGATTAAAAAAGCTTGGGATTGAAGCTTTTGTGCTACAAAGTGATTTTTTGACTGACTCGAAAGCTGTTACTTTCCATCCTAGTCGATTATCAGGACTTTTTGATGTCCAAAACACTGTGAGTTTTAATTTAATTAAGTTAAGTGTTAATTAAAAAATTTTTTTGTAGGATTCTTTAGTTGATTTAGTAACTAATTTAGGTTTATCGGAATCGAAGCTAATTATATCAATTCCAGTGCAAGGATATCATTTTAAATTGAAGAATGAAACCGAAACGAGTCGGGGAAGCCCAGCGATTGAGGTTAAATCAATTAATAGGGATGAAATGTGCAAGAAAATTGGGGAATTTAGCGATTGGAAGGAAGGAAGGGATCAAGATTTAACCGGAGTTTATATTTATCGGTAAATTTTTTTATTAACCTTAATTAACCCAAAACACTGAAGTCTACAAGACCTTGATTATTAAAAATTAAAATATACAACGTATTAAACTTTTTTGCTTATTGCATTTCCAAATTGGCTTGGAGCAATTGATGCAACAATAATTCGTTTTTCTCATTTTTGATGATGGGCAAATACTGCAAGTTTTTCTTTTTACAAGCTTGTCATCGTGAACATCCCAAAGGACAACATGCAACTTTTGTTAAAACATTTTTACGTTAATAACCTTCTTTTGAGATGTTTAAGCACCCCTTGAAAATAAAATCACAATTTAATCCGTAAAGAATACGTTACAGAGCGCCCTCTACCGGGTATAGTAAAACGGACTCCATAATCGTCTTTCTCGTGCCAGAAAACCTCCGTATACCAAATTTGAATAGAATCGGTTGAAATACACGTGCAATATTAAATAAAAATCAATTGAAAAAATTAACTTAAACACCCTGTATATGAAGTTTTTGTTAATTTAAAAAAATCTATCGACTATTAAAGTCCTGCTACAAAAACCTGAAACACCCTGTATATACAGAATGTCCTGAAACTGCGTCTATACATTTAAAGACGTGATTCTACAGCAAAAATCATGAAGAAAACTTTATATAATGTCCGGTCCGAAAATGTCCAAAAGTACTTTTTTAGAGTTATCTCAAATTATTATTATTTATTATTTTTACGTGACAAATACGATAATCAAAAGAAAAAAATAATTTATGGGGTTCAACATGACAGGTAAGGGGCGCGTTTAAAGTACCATATTTCGTTTATCTTTATTTTTTCTGCCATTTTAAATGCATCAATCAATTCTGCGGAAAAAGATACATAAAAAAGGTACTACTTAGAGAATTGTCTAAAACCAGTCGTTTCCAAGAAAAAATGCATTAAACGATTTGCCGCATAAGTAAATGTACAAAATTTTCTCATCCAAATGTCGCCGAACTTGAATGCTGAAATGCATTCAAATTTCTGGTGCTAGCCAAAGGATTTTCGTCTACTACATCCAATATCTTTCTTCATCATCTGCGGCTCTGGTAGAGCGTGATCTTCTACAATTCACCCGATTAGGTTTAAAAGATCCTGTCTCAAACAGTCTTCTATGAACAGAGGCGGCGCTACCGGGGGGAGCAAGGCGCGCACTGCACCCGGGCGCCGCCTAAAAGAGGGCGCCGGCGCCTTTTTAATGTTTTCTCCAACAATATCTTATTTTTCTTTTGCAATACTTAGACCTGTTAACAGTAGCTAGTCTTCAGAAAGCAGTATTTAGTCTCCACAAAGCAATTTTAGTCTTTAGAAAGCAGTATTTAGTGTTCCAGACGCAATATTTAGACCTGTCGGAAGTATCTAGTCTTCAAAAAGCAGTATTTAGTCTTCTAGAAGCAGTATCTAGTCTTCTGCCAACGTTATGTATGTTTTCTCCAACAATATCTTATCTTTCTTTTGCAGTACTTAGACCTGTCAGCAGTATCTAGTCTTCAGAAAGCAGTATTTAGTCTTCTAGAAGCAGTATCTAGTCTTCTGCCAAAGTTATGTATGTTTTCTCCAAAATATTTTATCTTTCTTTTGCAGTATTTAGACCTGTTAGCAGTATCTAGTCTTCAGAAAGCAGTATTTAGTCTCCACAAAGCAATTTTAGTCTTTAGAAAGCAGTATTTAGTGTTCCAGACGCTGTATTTAGACCTGTCGGCAGTATCTAGTCTTCAGAAAGCAGTATTTAGTCTTCTAGAAGCAGTATCTAGTCTTCTGCCAAAGTTATGTATGTTTTCTCCAAAATATTTTATCTTTCTTTTGCAGTATTTAGACCTGTTAGCAGTATCTAGTCTTCAGAAAGCAGTATTTAGTCTCCACAAAGCAATTTTAGTCTTTAGAAAGCAGTATTTAGTGTTCCAGACGCTGTATTTAGACCTGTCGGCAGTATCTAGTCTTCAGAAAGCAGTATTTAGTCTTCTAGAAGCAGTATCTAGTCTTCTGCCAAAGTTATGTATGTTTTCTCCAAAATATTTTATCTTTCTTTTGCAGTATTTAGACCTGTTAGCAGTATCTAGTCTTCAGAAAGCAGTATTTAGTCTCCACAAAGCAATTTTAGTCTTTAGAAAGCAGTATTTAGTGTTCCAGACGCTGTATTTAGACCTGTCGGCAGTATCTAGTCTTCAGAAAGCAGTATTTAGTCTTCTAGAAGCAGTATCTAGTCTTCTGCCAAAGTTATGTATGTTTTCTCCAAAATATTTTATCTTTCTTTTGCAGTGTTTAGACCTGTTAGTAGTATCTAGTCTTCAGATAGCAGTATTTAGTCTCCACAAAGCAATTTTAGTCTTTAGAAGGCAGAATTTAGTGTTCCAGACGCTATATTTAGACCTGTCGGAAGTATCTAGTCTTCAGAAAGCAGTATTTAATCTTCTAGAAGCAGTATCTAGTCTTCTGTCAAAGTTATGTATGTTTTCTACAACAATATCTTATCTTTCTTTTGCAGTACTTAGACCTGTCAACAGTATCTAGTCTTCAGAAAGCAGTATTTAGTCTCCACAAAGCAATTTTAGTCTTTAGAAGGCAGAATTTAATGTTCCAGACGCTGTATTTAGACCTATCGGCAGTATCTAGTCTTCAGAACGCAGTATTTAATCTTCTAGAAGTAGTATCTAGTCTTCTGCCAAAGTTATGTATGTTTTCTCCAAAATATTTTATCTTTCTTTTGCAGTATTTAGACCTGTTAGCAGTATCTAGTCTTCAGAAAGCAGTATTTAGTCTCCACAAAGCAATTTTAGTCTTTAGAAGGCAGTATTTAGTGTTCCAGACGCTATATTTAAACCTGTCGGCAGTATCTAGTCTTCAGAAAGCAGTATTTAGTCTTCTAGAAGCAATATTTAGTCTTCTGCCAACGTTATGTATGTTTTCTCCAATAATATCTTATCTCTCTTTTGCAGTACTTAGACCTGTCAGCAGTATCTAGTCTTCAGAAAGCAGTATTTAGTCTCCACAAAGCAATTTTAGTCTTTAGAAGACAGTATTTAGTGTTCCAGATGCTGTATTTAGACCTGTCGGAAGTATCTAGTCTTCAGAAAGCAGTATTTAGTCTTCTAGAAGCAGTATCTAGTCTGCTGCCAACGTTATCTATGTTTTCTCCAACAATATCTTATCTTTCTTTTGCAGTACTTAGACCTGTCAGCAGTATCTAGTCTTCAGAAAGCAGTATTTAGTCTCCACAAAGCAATTTTAGTCTTTAGAAACCAGTATTTAGTGTTCCAGACGCTGTATTTAGACCTGTCGGTAGTATCTAGTCTTCAGAAAGCAGTATTTAGTTTTTTAGAAGCAATATCTAGTCTTCTGCCAGCGTTATGTATGTTTTGTTCTTCATACTGATAGCTACTTCTTTCTGGGGGGATAGACCATCATCTTTTTGGGAGCCTCTTATTATCTATACGGATCTTGCACCACCCGGTACCTCATTTCTGCAGCTGTTACTTTGCTTTTGTGCTTATCCTGCATTGGCAAAGTTTCCGTATTGGTGATTTCCTGTGCTGTGCAATAACAAGACAAGTCCATTGGTTTCTTGTTCATATAATCAATTTTTTGTTTTCTCTGAACAGTAATTTCAGACTTCATGTGGACTTTGAACAATGTAATTCCTGTTTTTAACCTTCTGACCAAAGTATTCCCGACTATTCCCTTAAGTTTGGTTTTTCACCAGTATAATTATTAAATTTTTGCTGAAGTATGGATTATAATTATTCCAATCTTTTTTAAGTTTTTTTACAAATCGTTTAATGCAATTTTTCTTGGAAACGACTGGTTTTAGAAAATTTTTTAAGTCGTACCTTTTTTATGTATTGATTGATGCATTTGAAATGGCAGAAAAAATAATGATAAAAGAAATATGGTATCTTAAATGCGCCCCCTACCTGATTATCATATTTGTCACGTAAAAATATCCCTATACATCAAATTTCGGCATTCTAAACCTTGCCGTTTTTGAGGTAACGCTAAAAAAGTACTTTTGGAATTCCATCTTTAAGTCTTTCCCTTAGGAAGCATTTTCGGACCGGACATTATATAAACTTTTCATGATTTTTGATATAGAATCACGTCTTTAAATATATAGACATTTATGATATAAATTTGCAACATGGATTCATACAATCAATAATGATATTGTTTATTCAATAAAAAAAATACAAAATAATACAAAGATAATAAAGAAGGAATATACATTTTATGGAAAGATAACAAGGTAAAGAAAAAAATAATAATAATTCCTGAATAAACATAGAATAGAAGTTAAAAGAAGAAGCAATAAACTTAAATTGTTACCGCTTGTATGTGGTTTTTCAATCAACTCATTGGTGCAGTCTTGGTTGGTGTAATTTGTCCTATTCTTTGTGCTCATTGAATTAGATGCTGATCATTTCAGAAAAAAAAAAAACGTCTTCCCTCATGGAATGTCCATTTTTTTATTTGTTTCTTCACTATGGCGTCACTCAAGTTGAAATGCAATAATCCTTTTATTTCTGGAGGCATCGGATTATATAGTTTTGGTGCTATGTAATTTAGGCTACGCTGTCCTATTCTTTTATTACATTTTGGAATGGTCTACTTGAATCATTAACTGACTATGCTGCGTACGTACATCAACACTTTCTGACTATACAGGGTCATCCACGACGACCGTCCATTAGAACTTTACAGGATTCTGGTCAAAATACAAATTTGAAAATTCAGATTTAAGTATTATCAATACTAAAATATTTTCAAATATCTAACACTTTCGGTTATACCGGAAGTCGCCACCTACTTTATTTTTTTAAATGGAACACCCTGTATATTTTTACATATTTGGATTTGTCTGTTTTCAAGATTTATGAATGACTTTACTTTTTGCAATTTGATTCGGCCGTTCTCGAGTTATTCAAATTTTTCTAGAAAAATCTGCTCCAGCAGACATTTGTTAAAAAAATCAGAGAACACTCGATTTT